CTCTATTTTGTATTTTGTGTGCTCAGGAGGTCCTCTGTGCCAAAGGAAAAATGGGCCAAATCATTTTTATATAATCGCTCCAAGAATGTTCCAAACTTCAATCAGCTTCCACAATCCGGTAGGTAGAATTAGATCCTGTATTTTCAGTCTCTTCAGTATCCGACTGCGATTGAGAGCTCATTGCATCCAACAACTCCGCCTAAGTAATACAGATAATGATTATATAGTTAACTCTCTTAACAAATAAGTTATAAAATTTAATTAAATGTTTAATGTTTTTTCTACTAACAGTAAAAATGGAAAAGTTACAAATTTTAAGTAACATCAAAGGAAAGGGAGACATAAAAAGAAGGAAAATAAGAGAGATAAGTGATTTTAAAGTACAACAGATAGTAAAAGTGAATAAAAGAGAGAAGGAAAACATGTAAAATGTATATATGAAATGAAAAGAAAGCATTTTTATCTTTTTCTAACTCTTAAAACTGGAAAAGAATAAAAAATAAGTTGAACCGATAATAATAACTTACGACAATTCCTTCGCGCGTAAACGGGATTGATCTTCTTGGCATCAGCTCCCTGCCGTCAATATATATCATCCAAACGTTAACGCGCGATTGCAATCGCGCGGCAATGGAACATAAGATGGTGCCATTGGTTTCACCTTGGATGATCGTTTAAAGCTCACGTGAACGACACCTTTAATTTCTTAAATGGAAATCCCTATTTTTCAATGCATATTCTTGTAGCTAATCTCGAGAGCTTTTCAAAACACTATAATAAAGTATTTTTTTATTAAGAACTTTTGAAATTATAAGGCTCAAAAGTTCTAGTATTTTGACATAAAATACAAAATATCTTGTAAAAAATTAAGTTTTCGGTAATGTTACCTTAACACTTTTATGCACAAAATAATGAGACAAATCAATTGGTATAAAAAAAAGGCATATTTCCTTTAAGAAAAAATATGTAATTTCCAACACGCATCTACATACTTTTTCTTAAAAGCAACTGTCTTTTTTATATAGATATATAAAATAGAATCATTTATTTACTTCAGTTTACAATGCCAAGAAGGAAACAATTGCTTTTATGAAACATGTATATCACATGCTAATTTAGTGTTAAATTATTTTATTATTTTATTATTGCACAAGGTATTGCAAGGTATAAAAATAGTGATTGCCACTTTTTCCATAAGATTCGATATATACATTATGTATGTATGTAGAGGAAAAGTAATAATAAAACAAATACTATACCAATTGTATATAAATAATTTTTGTGTACACAAGAAATATACAAGATTATTTACTTGTATCTATAAACAAAAATACTTATTTTAAATGTACTTTTCTGGCTTTCATTTCAGCAAATTCGTTAATTACATCATCATAATTAATATTTTTAACAATATTATATTTAATCGAAATTATAGAAAGATTGGATAATCGTTCTTGTTCGATAGTCGATTTTAAATAATTCTTAATTAATTTTAACTTGCTAAAACTTCTCTCACACGAAGCAGTTGAAACGGGAAGAGTAAGAAATATTCGGAGAGCAACATTGATATTCGGATATGACTCAATTAATCCAAAGTCATGAAGAGCCTGTGGAATATCAAGTGAAGTGGCAGTTTTAATGTTTTGTATTAATATCGAGGCTTCAAACTTAAGGGCTTACATACGAGTAGACCGCAAGAAAAAAAAGTAAAATTTGGGAATTTTTATCTTGGAAACTATTAATTCGATTCGATCCGGTTTTTTTTTATTTAAAAGTATCTATACATTGAGGCACGTTCACAAATTTTTTCAAAGGAATTTATTCTCTCGGAGCGCTGTTCTCGTGGCCGGCGTAAAATGTGACACGGTTCACGGTTCCCAGAATATCTCGAGAACGGCTGGACCGATTTGCTTCAAATTTATACACAATGTTTTACGATAGTTTTTCTCGTTTCCATCGGGAGATTTTTTTTTATTCAACTAGTTTTTTTTTTATCAGACTATAAAAGGTCACATTCATTTTTCAACCTTTATAGTCTGATAAAAAAAATTAGTATACAATTAGATATTAATCGCATAAATATATGATATGCATATCTGACAAATATATGATATACTACAATATATCTGTGTGATAGGATTTATTGGTAAGTTTTAAATAGTTGTTAAAACTACATATACATATATACGTACATACATACATAATGTATATATCGAATCTTATGGAAAAAGTGGCAATCACTGTTTTTATGCCTTGCAATACCTTGTGCAATAATAAAAAAAAAAATAATTTAGCACTAAATTAGCATGTGATATACATGTTTCATAAAAGCAATTGTTTCCTTCTTAACATTGTAAACTGAAGTAAATAAATGATTCTATTTTATATATCTATATAAAAAAGACATAGTTGCTTTTAAGAAAAAGTATGCAGATGCGTGTTGCAAATTACATATTTTTTCTTAAAGGAAATATGCCTTTTTTTATACCAATTGATTCGTCTCATTATTCTGTGCATAAAAGTGTTAAGGTAACATTACCGAAAACTTCATTTTTTACAAGATAAATATCTTTTATGTCAAAATACTAGAACTTTCAAGCCTTATAATTCCAAAAGTTCTTAATAAAAAAATACTTTATTATAGTGTTTTGAAAAGCTCTCGAGATTAGCTACAAGAATATGCATTGAAAAATAGGGATTTCCATTTAAGAAATTAAAGGTGTCGTTCACGTGAGCTTTAAACGATCATCCAAGGTGAAAACCAATGGCACCATCTTATGTGCCCCTTCGATTCAAACAACTTTTGTATAAAACATTTATTCCGAAAACGTCAACTTTCCGAGATAATCTAGGGTCCCGACCTTTTTGTTACACCCGGTATATATATATATATATATATTATTACTTTATATATATTTATTGTAAAGTATTTTCATATATATAATTGTCAATTACATCAAAAAGACATAAAAAGATACAAATATTGAAAAAATTATAAAATATTTTCTTATTTATGGCAACTCATATGCTAATTTCTGTTTTATCTTTCATACACTTTTAGCTATTACCATCTCGTCGATGATAAAAGATTTGTACATTTCTGATGATAAAACAATGATTATATAAGGTAAAACTCATCCCTTTAAATTCTTTGGAATAGTCGAATATAGCCAAAACAGTCGATAATGTCAGTATTCTTCAATTACCACCGGGCCCCCGGGCAGTCACGAAAATTTACCCAGGGTTGTCGGTCTTTAATAGTATCTCGTCGGTGCCGACAGGAATGCCTGGACATTTTGATATGTATATGACATATATGTATAGGTATATGTATATGTATTATGTCCAGGCATTCCTGCCGGTAGAGTGTATGTATGTACATATGTATGTATGTATGTATGTATGTACATACAATACATTCACACCGGAAATAAGTTGGCGCTGCAAGTTCATATTTTTTAATGAACTATAGCTCAAACGATTGCTCCCTAATTGCTCCCTCAGAATCGACAATTGCTCCCCTTTTAAAATTATTATTTTTTGAGATATTTAATAAAAACGAAAAATTTCTAATTTTTATTGAAAAACATATTTATAATAACTCTATGCAACTTTATACGGCATAGAACGATTGCTCCTTCATTGCTCCTTATTGCTCCATCATAATTTTAATGATTTATTGCATTTTTATTGAAAAAATAACAAATTAATCATTTCACAAGTAACGCCGCCGCCGCCACTATCGGCCGCCTATTGTAACTATGGCTCGGCAGCCATTGGCGGAAATATTTAAACGTAATATAATAGCTTTATTGTTCATAACTATATCTCAAAGAGTTTAGTCAACATTTCCTATTGATTTTTGGTAGAATAAAAGTGGAAGCATATAAAATTGCAGGAAACATAAGCAGAATGCAGAAGCCATATGCGCATGCGCTATGGTATCTGTTACAGCTTTACGGATATAAAGTTGCATAGAGTTATTATAAATATGTTTTTCAATAAAAATTAGAAATTTTTTGTTTTTATTAAATATCTCAAAAAATAATAATTTTAAAAGGGGAGCAATTGTCGATTCTGAGGGAGCAATTAGGGAGCAATTAGGGAGCAATCGTTTGAGCTATAGTTCATTAAAAAATATGAACTTGCAGCGCCAACTTATTTCCGGTTACATACACAGTAGCGATGTAACGTAGCGACGGGCTGAACGCTGAACGGGCTGTCTATTTACCGGTTCAGCATGAAGATAGCTATTCATCCGTTGACAGCTGATCCCACGGCAGCTTGGCGTGAGTTGTCCCAGCATCAGAAAGTCGTTAAAATAAATGCTAAATTGCCGACGAACGAGGCACCGAGCGACAAAGTACGTCCGACGATTTTTAACGTCCCGATCTCTCAGCACGGAGCGATGTATTTGTGTTAACCTGAAAACGTCACCTTCACTTTAAGGTTATTCTACATAGAAGTCGTAATCGTGAGTTGTAAGAAATTGACCAATCACATTCGAAGTTGAGGAGAATATTCAATCTGTGATTGGTCAATCTCTTACAACTCACGACTACGAGTTCTATGTAGAATAACCATTAGACATTTAACGCCGTTAATTATACGTTTTAAGAAGAATTTAAGTTTTCCATTTCTCACGATCATCAATGCGAGCGTATTAATCTGAAACATATACAGGCTTAACAATGATTTTTTATTTTCAGTTGCGTGTGGTATGTATGAGCGACACGCACTCGCTCACGCCGTTTATAAAATTTGACGTGCCCGCGGGAGACGTCTTCATCCACGCCGGGGATTTCACGAAATGTGGCAGCCTGCAAGAGGTCGTAGAATTCAATAATTGGATAGGTAAATTATCGTGTGTACTAATTCGTGCTGTGCATCGACGAGAAATGCCGGAATGTTAAGAGAAGTTACGTATTTTGCGGTAATTCTAGGTAACTTGCCACACAAGCATAAGATAGTTATAGCTGGAAACCATGAACTTAGCTTTGATCCCACGTTCACGCATCCCTTTTCTGTGCATACCAGCGGGGATCACCAGAAGCATACAGGAACCAGTATACTCGACGATATACCTACCTTGGGTATGTCCAAGGATATTCTTGTGGAAGCTATTAAAACTACTAATGTTAAAGATTATTTGACAAATTGTACATACCTTGAAGATTCCGAGATTATAGTGCATGGAATTAAGATATACGGTACTCCATGGTAAATATCGTTATATCAGTTATACTAAATTAGTTTATGAATAAAAATAGAACATACAGCCACTGTATATTCAAAATTATTAGGTACCCTTTTTCTTCTGAATATCTTGACAGTGAATGAACGTAAGCTCTTTATTGTTTTCATTCTATTAGCCTTGTGAATGGTTCAAACAATTAAGGCACAAAGTCCATTATCTTAGGGAAACAGCAATATTATTTAGAAAACTGTTCATTCCGCATGTCGACTTTGATTAATACGGGCGTGATTATTTCAATTTCACAAGCAATTGCTAGACTTTATCTGTTTACTGCCTACAAAAAAGTATAGCAATTGCTTATTAAATGGAAATAATCGCACATAATAAATACGTAAACAGAAAACATTCGTTCCAAGATATTCAGAAGAAATAAGGGTGCCTAATAACTTTGTCAATGGCTGTATAACGTATATTAATCAAGGGTTTATAGGAATTAGAATTGAGAATGTTTATATTTATAAGAGTAAGAGTTTTTTTTCATATTTTATGTTCCAATATTCTGAAATTAAGTAAACAAGCAATATGTATAGAAAATCTATATTGATCTGTTGTTTAAGATAAATATTATGATTGTATCAAAGATTGATGTTTACCTTTTTTGAATACTATGCGAAATATTTGTAGAAAATAATTTCAGGTATTAGATTTTTATTTCTGAGGGACATTTCATTGAAACTTTAGGCAGCCCGAGTTTTGTAAGTGGGCATTTAACGTGCCGCGTGGAGAAGCATGCCTTTCAAAATGGGAAATGATTCCGTCTGACACAGATATCCTCGTAACGCATACCCCTCCTGTAGGTCACGGAGACCTATGCTGCACTGGAGTACGAGCCGGATGCGTTGAATTATTGTCGACGGTGCAGAATCGCGTAAAGCCCAAATATCATGTATTTGGTCACATACACGAAGGTATGATGAATATTATTATACAGGGTATTGAAAAAAGGTGGTGTCAAATTTTAGGAGTATGTACTATTCGTGAAAACAAACCGAAAAATTTTAGTAAGCATTATTCAAAAAACCATTTATATCCGAGTTATAAAGCATTTTTTATAGCAGATATGCCCTTCGTTCATTTCAACGCACAATTCAGCACACCATCATGTTCTTCAAATGTCTCTATAAATAAAAGTGTAACGGATTTAAATCTGGTGAATGAGGTGGCCATGCAACTGGACCGCCACGTGCTATTTAATTTTCTTGAAAACAATTGTTTAAATGTTGTCTAACAATCATGAGGAAATGCATAAGGGCACCATCGTGAACTATATTGTCTACACAGAAGAGGAATATCTTGCAAAAGTTCCACGATGTTCATTATTCGTCAACTTTAGAAGCGTGAAAGACGAGTATATGAGCGGTTGCGTGTAAATACGTTATACAATGCATACACGTGAAATAAGCAGAGAATACATTGAATGCTTTATAACTCGGAAATAAATGGTTTTTGGAATAATGCTTATTAAGATTTTTCGGTTTGTTCTCACAAGTACGACATACTCCTAGGTGTTACCTTTTTTAACATGCTGTATATTTGTAGTTACATTATGGGAACATCTTATCCATTTTACTTATAATTTTGGGCGAAACTTCCGAAAACGTCTATGCTCAGATTTAGATGAAACTTTGTGAATAAGTTCCTTTTAGATAGAAAACACATATACTAAAAGGATTTTTTGCGACTCCAAAGTTTAGCAACTTTTTTAACATTTTTAACTTACTGCCTCTGCACATACATTTTCCACGCGAAACAAACCAAAACAGCTCTCAAGTAATGTAAACAACCATAAAATCATACACAAAATACAATTAATATATTAGTTTATATACAAAACAAATAAAAAAATTAGCCGGGCCGGGCCGGGCCAAGTGTATGCGTGAACTATTTCGGGACTACCGCACCTCCCCCGAAAGCACGGGGGGGGGTGTGCGTGAACCTCGGTTCGCGTGGAAAGTGTATGCGTGAACTATTTCGGGACTACCGCACCTCTCCCGAAAGCACGGGGGGGGGGGTGTGCGTGAACCTCGGTTCGCGTGGACAGTGTATGCGTGGAGGCGGTAGGTTCCGCCCCCCTGCGAAGGGCTCCACTTTTTTTCGGTAAAGCAGAGTATACAGCAGAGTATATAAACTAATATATTTGTACTTTGTGTATGATTTTATAGTTGTTTACATTACTTGAGAGCTGTTTTGGTTTGTTTCGCGTGGAAAATGTATGTGCGGAGACAGTAAGTTAAAAATGTTAAAAAAGTTGCTAAACTTTGGAGTCGCAAAAAATCCTTTTGGTATATGTGTTTTCTATCTAAAAGGAACCTATTCACAAAGTTTCACCTAAATCTGAGCATGGACGTTTTTGGAAGTACAGCCTAATTTTGTTTTACAGGATATGGCATATCTTCAGATGGCAAGATAATATACATTAATGCATCAACATGTGATCTGAATTATCTGCCAAGTAATCCACCAATAGTATTTGATATAACATTACCTTCCGGTATTCAAAAATCATAAATCTTCAAATGAGATTAGCATCAATGTATATTTCATTGTGTAATGCTACATTAGGAATACTTCAGATTTTTCTTACGAGCTTAAGAAAACTCATTATGTGATTAACGTAAAATTAGTTATTTCTTGCCTTAATTTATAAATCATGATGTATAAGCAGTATGTATGTATAAGCAGTATAAGTGTTAATTCGCCTTTCTTTTTCACACGATTTTTGTAATATCTTAACAATATTAAGTAAGATAAATCCAATTTGTAATCTCTTTCTTAAATAAAAGTAAATTATATTATATATAATTTTTCTTGATGAATACAAACTTTTCATCATCCTGATCATCCACTTCAACAAAAGATTACTTAATATTTCAGTATTCTTTGTTAAGGATTAAAATTAAAAATGAATTTATTGAAAATATGGAATTTTTGGGGATATACTTAATACGTGCTTTAGATAATAATCACCAATAAAAAAATCACTACTTTTTATACATTTATTGTAATATTCAATCGAGTAACAAATGGCACTTTTTTTTATTAGCAAGACAAATTTACGATCGTCATCGTAGTCATAACAAGCTAAATTCGTACGTAGATCGGAGGCTATTTTATTGAATAAAATCATTTATTTTTATCGAGTGTAAATTATTTCGATTTTAATATAATTTTAATATAATCATAAATTATTATGCTTGCATTAAAAACGTGATCAGTGCCATTTTTCTATCATAATCGTAATGCGTTAGACACATTTCAACTACGAAAATTTATTTAAGCAATTTTTCTTAATTGATGTATGCAAAATTTTTATATATACCTATATAGATATTGCAGATCTAAAATTGATTCATCTGATATATGCACTGATAAATTATGCATGACCGTTACATGCATTGAGTTTTAATCATAGTTTACAAATATTTCAATCCATAAATTACTATTCTCGTCATTATAACAAATTGATCCTTCTATCATTTTAAATTGAGACTGATAAAAAGGATGCCATGTCATAAGTTGGAGTTGAAGCTGGAACCATCTTCGATTACAACAAAATTCCAAAGCATCATATGTCTCTTCAACTTTGGAGAAATTTGGAGAAATTCGTAGAACTATTAAGTTTAAAAAAACATCTTACGTATCTAAATCTCTAATCTTCATCATTTTGTGTTCCGTTACCAATCTTGTAATTGCTATTGGAAATTCACAAAAAAATAGAACAAATGTAAATTTTAATTTAGAATTAGGACACACAAAATATGCACCTAACTAGCAGGTAGACGAAGTAGTTTTTAACTAACAGTAACAACAAACAAATGTAAAAAGAATATGTTCTTCTTACACAGGTTTGAAGTAGATTACGGAAGATTTTCGTCTAATACGGTACATTCGAAAACAGGTACGATACAGATTCGCCATTATGTGTCCGCCTCACTGCTTCGGCAAACATCATTGAGACATCGATACACTGAAAGATAAAAGGTAATCAGTTGTGTCATGATTAAATCCATATAACACTACTATCACCGTTATCGCGATAAGAATTTCGTGTCGAAATTTCCCTAACGAAAGAAACAGTTACCTGAATCTTTGGACAATCTTTCATGTGACCATCTTGAGGAATAGTGTTGGTCACTACTACAGCCTCGAAGCAAGCATTGTTAATTCTACTAATGGCTGGCCCACTAAAGATACCGTGTGTAAGTATCGCGTAAACCTTCGTGGCACCAGCTTCCAATAGTTTTTCCGCTGCGTGACAAATGGTACCGCAAGTGTCAGCCATGTCATCCACAAGGATAGCAACTCTGTCTTTGACGTCTCCGACCAATACCATACTCGCGACTTCGTTCGCCTTTTTCCTTTCTTTATGTATGAGCGCAAACTCAACATTTAATCGGTCTGCGATGGATGTGACTCTGTAAAGTAAAAGACGATCGATGTATCTCTTCGATTAAAGTTATTTTCTTTTTCTGATTATTCACCTTTTGGCACCACCTGCATCAGGAGAGACAATGATACTGTTTCGCCATTCAACGATATTCTCTTTAATCCACTTGAGGACAGCTGGTTCAGCGAATAAGTTGTCTACTGGGATGTCGAAGAATCCTTGTATCTGACTAGCATGCAAGTCCATTGTGATAATGTGATCAGCACCCGCCACAGAAAGCATATTCGCAACTAGTTTTGCAGAGATTGGCGCACGACTCTGTAAAAATACATTTCGATCCATCAGTTTCAAGAATTTGTACGAGTCCTTCAAGTCCATTTGCAACTGGAAATAGCCTGCAATTTAAAGAAATTGCTATTAAAGTCCCTTAAAAGCATGAAAAAATATTCGAGAAATCAAAAATATTATAAATTAGTTTATTTTACTACCTTTTTTAAGCTAAATAAAAATTTAAAAAAATATGTTTTCTTTGCTGTGTCGGCTTTTTGGAACATACAATATGATTTATTAAACATTGGAAATACATTGCCAAAAAAAAGATTTTTCAGAGGGGACAAAATATGAATATAATGGCTATACTAAAATATTACTCTTCGAAAGATATAGGTATATTCGTAAAATATATTTTGACAGGGAAACGTTGCAAATGCACCCCAGTTAGACTCTCAACAACTATCGTAAATGAAGCAAAATATCTAAAATTATGAACGCAAAACGGAACACAATGCATCTCGGTCCTTTGCCCTTATGTAGCAAAGGATAGTAGGAGATGAACAAGAGGGCAAACATTGCTAACAGATGCCAAATATACGGAGATAAGTATATATCACAAATGTAAAGATTTATTCCAAGAAACAAATATGTCAATATCGCGAGTGCATTTTTAACATTGTATGTGCAAAATTACATAAAAAAGATTTGTAGTAGAGAAATGCATTGTGCAAATGAATGGAATATTTTTTAGTAAACCACAATACCTTATGATGAGTATAAGGTTTATAAAAATTAATCACTGTTTCAAAGTATTACCCGCAATTATAGTATCAACAAGACAAGTTATCACCAAGATAACACATTGACATTCCTATGCTATTTAAGCATTAATAGAATAGGCGATATTTGATTAGTGCATTTGGACAATAACACTGATTTAAGCTTCAATAATTAGTACCCAGTGAAACATACATATGCGTACCCCACTATACTAATTGCCAACAATGTACTGCTATTATATTAATATTTTGCCCTCTCATTCGGATATCAATATGCTTTGACCAAATGTCCCATTCATTCATTCATTCATTCATAGGAATACCACGGTGTTGTATAGCAACGATATTATAAGTTTGGTTAGTCCTACAAAGAAAATTTTCGTCTGAATCCAAAAGTAATATTATAAATCGAATGGTTCATCGAGTTATCATTACAAACGCTGCACTCGACAATCTCGTTGCTATTATACTCACTGTAGACAGGTCGGGCAGAATATCCTGAAAATACCCAACTATTCAGAAACTTAAAGGAATATAATTATAACTTTTTTTCCTAGCAAACATTATAGTCAATAATGATTTTTCCGATCTCTTTTCGTTTTTTAATGAGAAGTGATATGGAATTGTTTAATTTTTAATGTTATATATTATTTTCATGCAGTACCCAATTAATATTAAAAGGCGCTCATTTTTGTATGTAAATAATATAAAAAATTGTAAGAATATCAATATCTACCTTAAACTTTTATTTAAAATAAAAACATGTATAAAATAAACAAAATAAGAAAAACATATAATAGTAACATATTTAATAAATTTAAATAATTAATAAAATAAAGTTAACATCAGAAATTGATTAATTATGTAGTTATTATTATCGTGGCAACAAAAATGTGCAGAAGACCTCTCTTGGAGAAATCTAGCACGAGTTTTGCAACCCCGTTTGGGTTATCCAACTTTTGATAACCTTACGTCATTATAAATAACATGCTTGAAATGTATGCATTTGTAATGCTTAAAATTTTAAAATATTTGCTACTTATTTTATTACAAACATCTCAATTACGTCAAGTGATAAAATGTTATATTAAAAATTACAACTCTATGCGTAATTTAATATTAAAATTATCTATATTCTCGTCCATATTTCAAGATAATACGCATAAATTGATACTAAAAGCAATGAATGTTTAAAGTAAAATTTGGGATATGATGTAAATCTGATTAAATAATGAAATTTGTAGAAGGATAACTAACTCATGCTTGATTTTCTTACAAGATTCAGATGGTTATATAAATGATATAATTCACTTATAATCATGATATAATTTCTACAAGTAAAATATAAAATGTTATTATATATACATATAGTTTAATTTTGCATATTTTAATTATATTAGCCTTGTATAATTAATACTATTTCCCCTGTATACATACTTGAACTATGTGCTAGTTTCACTATTTGCTTCACACAGTATAATATTTAAAAAAGTAATATTTCTTTGTATTATTTTGTATGTTTGTGGTTAAATTTTAAAGTCATATATCATTTATATAAAAAGTATGTATTCTAAGATCCCGATAGATATCCTCTAAAGAATGTAAAAAAAGAATCAATAATCAATATTGCAATTATTAGCGAATGACGCAGGTTCTGATCATAATCTGTGTATTATCCGGTGCAGCCCAATAACATAAAGCCGACAGAGTACAAGCATATTTCATATGACGATGAGATCGAGTTTGCGTTCCAGAAATGATATTACTCCATTGGTCTGTTGCAAAGCTATGAAAAAATTAAAAATAGAACATATAGGACCGCCACAAGTTACCCTGAATTTCCACTCGTTCGACTTCATGACAATCTGATTTTTAGAGTCTCCACCATCACCGCCCTGTGAAGATATAGTATGTTAAAGAAATATAGAGCTTCTTCAAGGTAATATTTTTTCCGTTATCACGCTTGGTTCAACTCTATCAAAAACTTCAAGAAAATAGTAAGGAACAGACATACTACACAATTTTCATTTATATATATGTACATCATTATAACATAATTGCACAATCATTATAACATAAATACAGCAGTTGCGTCTATATTAGATATATTAATTGATTAAGAAGTGGTGATCAAATATTCTTAAGCAAATAACACTTAGTTTGCAATTTAATAAAAATCTGCTATTAATGTGGAAAAATTTAATCACTAAAATAAGATTTTTTAAAATGTGCTTCCTGATCAAGTTAATAAATTGCAACAATTGAACATATTTCATCAGATCAAGTCATCTTAAGTCTTAAGTTATCGTATAAAATAGACGGGAAATTTTAATTGCATATATTAACTACCTGTCCACGAGACATACCTAAATCCTGTTGAGAAAATGGTCACGAGTACATATCTTATATTTTTTTAAAAGCCATGCCGCTGATTAATTAAAGTATTCCTAAGAGGAAAGATCAATATTCACAAGTATCTAATTCAGAAATAAATGGATTGTAATTATGTTAATCCTCAAACATTAGTAGTAATTAAAGAAAAAGAGAAATCATTGTAGCTACAATACACATAGAGTTTTATGCTGATGTACATATATAGAGATTACAGATCTCTATACGTTGCAATGATTATATAAGTAGTTTAAATACAAGTCTCAATTATTAGTGTTTTAAGCATTTTAAGCTGTATATCACGAACAAGATTTTAAAGTAAAAAACATAACTGTGCTGTAAACATATGTACACATATTGTGTTTAACGTTAATAAGATGCAAATCGTAATTATTATTTTACGAAAAGTTTGTGATAGAAATACGTGCATTCTTTAAAGTATTTACGACAAAGTCAATTTTTCTATATATAGATCTATTATAAATGCATGTATTACACTATGTTTTTCTTATACCAATATATTATCTCATATAATACGTTATAAAATTGCAGATAGCTTATTGCATATCGCTGATGCAATGTCGACAAAAGATGTGTAAGCATTAATACTTTACAGGAACAAATAACAGTCTAATCAAAATATCACAAACAATATTTCGGAATATGACGGAATAATCTATTAGAATATATATACTTATACCTAATATGGGACATAAAATTGAAATATAATTGGCTTATATAAAGAACAGGTACATTAGCATTATTTATACGTATCTCGCTACTACTTCTAAGATACAAATGTATAGGAGCAAGTAATGGTTACTCTATCCGTTTTACCTACCTTGTCTTTCTTATCTTGCCTGGCATAAGGGAAACAAGGAATAACCGCTGTTACTCGTGATGCAGAAGCAATTTTGCAAGCGTTGATCATGATCAGAAGCTCCATAAGATTGTCATTCACCTCGCCGCTTCCACTTTGCACAATGTACACATCTTCCCCACGGACAGATTCTCCGATCTCCACGCTAAACAGTATTAAATCTTGCGTTATTTCCTGCAATCTTACAAGAATAGTAGAGTATGAGCGAGGATCTCGATTGGATAATTTGCGTTTGCTTCGCGAGACGTCGCAGCGCGAGTCGACGCTCACGGCGAGCGACCGTCCAGTTAGAAGAAGTGATTAGGGATCGGGTAATGACATTAGACTCCGAGAGAATGGAGTTAACGCGGAACGTTAACCCGCGCGTCGCGGAGGGACGAAACGCACGCGAACGTGACGAATGTCGGAGAAGAGAAAGCGTGGAACACGACGGCACGTGCGGAAATCCGCGATCCACGCGCGACGACACGTGGTCGCGGCCGGCGCACGATTAGCTCCGGCTCGCCAACTGACAAGAGGAGAAACGTGGTCACGCGCGCGGCAAGCGTGGTCCGTCGATCGGCGAGAGCGACCATTACCATGTCTCGAGGTTGCTGAATTTCTTGGTGACAACTTTGCCGATGTCGATGCCGAGGCGGTCGACGATCCGCTGGGCGAGATCCGGATGCGAGGTACCGCTGAAGACCTTGATGTTCGGCATTCTGCTCTGCAGGACTCGCACGCGTGAGTTCTCCAAGTTTGCGCGTAACAAACTCTTAGCACGCACTGGCTGCGACACGGGCATCACTACAACAGAAAACCACCGGGGCGGTCGGCCAATCGGGGATCGCGCGCGTACCGGACGTGACGTCGGGCTGGATCATGCTCCGCCTACGCGCACGCGCGGGGAGAGGGGGGTATCTCGTGTTGTTAGCGCGCAAAACGGAGCGGGGTACTCTTATCGTCGTGGTGCCTGGCCCCCTTTCGCCACTCTCGCGGAAAATAACGATCTCCGATAAGCGCGCTCGGTCGCCTCAATCAGCCTAATACTGGTTACGTAAATAACCGCCACCGCGTCTCACGCGAAGGAACGTATATCCGTCGTTGATAATCGATACAGCGTCTCTCTCTCTCTCTCTCTCTCTCTCTCTCTCTTTTTTCCCCTCTTACCAATTTTCACCCATCAAAATTTTTATTCGCTTTTACTCACGCCTGGCTCAAAAAGCCGCTTTTCTGCTCTCTACACCGCCGATCTCGCGACAAAGTGTCCGCGCTCGTGCTTCCACCCTTCGCGTCGATAACAACGTACTCTTATCGCGCTGATGCCGCGAGGCCCGCGAGCGTATACGCGGCCGTAATCTCCGGATATCTCGATCGTAGCCCACGCTGCCCAATGCCCACGTGCGTCGTGCACGCGTGCCGCCCTTAACTTAACATCCCACCGCGATCGGGGCGCAAAATCGTGGCGTGGATGGCGAGCGACGAGCGGCGAGGCGCGACGTGAACCTAGACGAAATTCAAAAGGAGCGGGCGCGAGCAGCGGGTGATAGTCAATTTTTGCCCATCGATGTGGCCCGGCGGCCACGGCGGCGCTGAGCAGCGTGAGTCGTGCGGACGAGTCGCGTGTGGTCGCGTGTCGTCACGCGTGTGTGTATCGTACGTGCGCGACGGCGTGAGTTTCTCGACACGGCCACCGTGGTTAGGGGACGAGGACGAAGGCCGTGGGCCGTGCGCGCGCGAGAGAAACGAGACGGGCAAGATTTGGGTGCAGGTGTACGGGCCACGGGGATTACGCGCGGAGGACGCTCTACGCGGCCTACGCGCGACGCGACGCAGCGCAGCGCGACGCCGCTGAACGTGCGTGGAGCGCGTCGCAGAGCACGGGCGAGCTCGTTCCTCCGAGCGACAATGACAACGTGCTAACGGTCTAGGCTGATTCGAGAGCCATGGCGAACATCGCGGCACAGCGAATCAAACGGGAATTCAAAGAGGTTATAAAGAGCGAGGAGGTGAGTGAGCGAGCGAGCGAGCGAGCGAGCGAGCAGCGTCAAGTCGGTGGGACGGGGGCCGCGTGTCCTCGCGATAAGCCACGGCGGGTAAAGGCCGCGTATCCCGATTACGCAATCCCCTCGCGGCCGGGACGATCGGGAGCTCGCACGCGGTAGGAGAGCCTGTTGCGCGTCGCCCGGTCGGCTGTCATTCGTCCGCGTCTTTCTCGTCTGTCCCGAAAACGTCCGATCTTTCCCAGACAGCATGTCTAAAAAAATGCCATAAAGATGTCTTTTAAACACGTATGGCTTAAAGGTGTCTTTACGACGTCTTTTTAGACATGCGTGCTGTCTGTGGACTATGACGGACGATGACGCGTGTGAAATGTTGCCGATGGGCGATGCGACAGTCAACATCTCCCTGCCCCAACGTCAACGTCTCGACGATATCTAATTAGACTCGCGTGAATCTAGGTAGCTCGGTAGCTCGGCCGTACTCACCACGATGCGCGTTTGCAGGTCCGGGATCTCGGCCGCACTGGGATCTCTGGGTGGTTCTGCACTTTTTCAGATTGCTCATCTCTGCCCTCGCATTTGAACGCGTTTCTGCGTCTCCCTGATAACGCCTCCACGTGCTTTCTAGGCGGCTTAATTACGCCGTGGCGTCGCGAACTAAAGCCGTACCATGACAGTTTTGCGAATTGTTATCCGCCGCAAGAACGCGTCTCGAGATCCTCTCTTATCGCGCCTCGGATGTCATAGGTTATGATTACATGTTTATTTTGATAATTTGTATCGCGAGACTGACGTAGTACCACACACGAATTTTACGAGGGGACATGATTTGGCAATGTATGTTTTCGTCGGCTCTATATCCTTTTATCTATCGTGAACATGAACCTGAATGTTTTTTTTCCTTCTTTTTACTAGGAGACAGAGATGGTATTGAAAAACAAGTGTCGCGTATATATCAAAACTGACCGAAATATTATTGCTACTATGATATGATTTGAAGCTTTCTCAATGTTCAATTGTTTTTAGATTCTTTGAAACATTTCGTCTTTGCTTTTTCTAATTTTTCGTGTCGATACGTCATTTGCTCTTAAATTGTAACTTAGGAGTTACAATTTTTGCAACTTAATTGCTGTATTCTGTAATGTATCTTTGTATACATTCATATGCCTACATATAAATGAACAAAAGACAGTTTTTATAGAATATCTTTTTTTTACCATAAATTGATTTACAATAAATTAATTCTTAATTTACGATAAATTAATATGTATTAGCTTTGTTAAATATATTTATTTGTTAATTTGAATATTATTTAAGAATCTTTATATATAAATTACAAATTTTATGCTCTTGTGATGTAACGTACTTTACAAGTTATTTGCATTTATGCTTATTCATGTACATAAGTGTAGTTGTTTTGTGAGAGGTTGTTGATATTTTATCTAAATTGTTATGTGTTGCCATACGTTGCAAAATTGCAATAAACATTTTATAGCAATTATCTAACATATTATGTTAGATAGTTGCTTTAACATATTATTTGCTCTAACATATTATTAACATATAACTATCTGATTGTCTAAAATTATTTATTTGATTTTTGTAATAGATAGCAAAATGTGCGATTAAAGTTGAGTTAGTCAACGATAGTCTTACCGAATTAAAGGGAGAGATTGCTGGCCCACCGGACACCCCATACGAAGGTGGTAATTTTGTGCTCGAGATCAAAGTTCCCGAGACGTATCCATTCAATCCTCCCAAAGTAAGTTGAAAATTTTAAAAAGTATGAGTATAATACTTATATAGCAAGCATTTCCGTAGCTTCTAATAACGTTTATTATTTTTTATTGTAATATATGGTACAAGAAGATCGATTATAACACATGAATATTGTAAATCTATCATTTAGAATCTTTATAAATTAGTAACAAATATATCATCAATATTAATTATATTGTCATCGATGAATTTTTATTCATACTTTGTTTTATTATAATAGATAAAATATATTTATGTTTTTATGAATAAACTGTCAAAAGGTTTTGCATTGTATAAAATTTTGCAGGTACGTTTTATAACAAAAATATGGCATCCCAATATATCTTCCGTCACTGGTGCCATATGTTTGGATATCTTGAAAGATCAATGGCATGTATTTTCATTGTAAATTTATTCATTAGATTATTAATAGTTGTCAAAAACTCTTGTTCAAAAACTTTAGTCTGTTTTACAATGTCTTTTATCGAGTAAAAATATATTTTTATTTTTATGTTTATATATTTGCTACGTATTTCTTAATTTAATGTTACAACTTTGTTGTATTAGTAATGTGGCTTGTACATTTGCAAAATAATCTCATCTTTATTTTCATATTTAAGGGCTGCCGCAATGACTCTGCGCACAGTATTGCTATCGTTACAAGCATTGTTATCTGCAGCAGAACCTGATGATCCTCAGGATGCAGTAGTCGCTAAACAATATAAAGAACATCCTGAATTGTTTCGTCAAACTGCCACACATTGGACATTTGTATATGCAGGTGGTACGTATTCGCGCACTTAATCACGTTTATGTACATACATACATTTTGTGTTAAAGTATATGACTTATATCGAATCTTTAGGGCCAGCAAAAATGCCCGATTTAGATGACAAGATAAGAAGATTAACAGATATGGGAATTGAAGAACATAACGCAAGAGTTGCTTTATCTTCGTATAATTGGGACTTGGAACGCGCCACCGAGCACTGCCTCTTCAGTTAGTGATAACTACATAGTTAATTTGTCACATCCAAACATTTGTCACATCCACTCATTTTGTGCTAAAAATTTCCTTGTAATAATACCATGTTCGGATATATATCATTAATAGTTTTACAATTGAAATTCCGCATCTATAATGACAATATCTGGATGTAAAAAGACATCACAAGACAGAAAAGCTATTCAATATCTACCAATAGTCATTTATTTAATTTGTAACATAAGCGTGAGAGAGAAATAATTATTAAAGAAATGGCTAGTATGAATCAATTAGCTAAATTTTAAGCATTCTGTGAGGAATATACTGTTCTGCATTACATTCTATTCAAATTCCATTGTTGCTTAAGAAATAACGTAATGTTACAACAAAATGCGTATCCTTTAGCTTTGTATACCATTGTCAAATTTTTATTATTTTATCAGCCATTAATGTTTTCCATTGCATTATAGATTTTGAATTTGTATTAAAGAGGGATTTGTATTGAATTTTCAGTAAAGTCTAATCTAAGTAATCTATGTATTCATGATACTATCTTTCAAGCGTAATTAAATCGTGCAATTTCTATAATTTATCTATGATCTATCTTTTATATCAGTGATACACAAATTTTCTTGATGAGCTGTGCATAATTATATGCCATACTTACATTTTAATGAAAGGTACATGTTACAATAAAAATAACGTATTTCTTTCGTTCTTTAATACAAGACATATAGGTTCATGAACTGTAATAGGTAATTACAGTTCATCATTTTTCATTATTAAATAAATTGTTACTATTGCACTTTTACATAATTGAATTTGTTCCTAATAAAAAACGATATTAGGCTTAAGATTTTCAAGAAGCATGAGAAAATTTTGAATGTCCCTTTTTTTTATCTTTTTATCTTTTTATATTTAAATCTGTCGTTTTTTTTAATTTAAGAAACTTAATTTTTTTGGACCAATTTTGAAGTCAGAATCAGAACCACTAACAATAAGTGTAATTTGGTCATCACTGATCTATGATGAATAAAGTAATATTGAAGCAATATATGCATATGTGCAAAAACTGCTTTTATTTGAGATAGAGAAAAAGCATAATTTAAGCAAGTCCGCTTGAATATTATTGAAGTAAGATATGACCTGTAAAAAGATTCATAAACTTCGATGTTAATATTTTACACTAGTGTATTTTTAGTGTTGGCTTACCTGCGGTAGTAAAACTATATCACATCACAGATATGTATCTTTAGAAGTATACATTTTATCTTTTTGTTTTTGTATCTATATCATGCCGTGTACATTCCAGACTCAGGTGTAAATGGCATTTATTTAGCGGCCTCAGTTAAATTCTACATTACTTAAAAATATATAATTGGAGTAGGAAAAAACAATCAAAGCACATTAAGTTCAACTTTAGTTTGGTGATAATCTTGTAAAATCATGAGATGGCACAGCTAGAAAGAATAAGGACAGAAATTTAATTAGCTCATTATTTGTATAATAATGTATATGATGCAGAAATGCACATAGCTTTTTGTACAATCAAATGTTGAATCATGTGCGTTTTACAGTGAAAGGATAAAAGTCTAATCATAGTTTTACCAGTTTGTAGCATTAGTTTTTCCATAGATCATATTTAAAAAAGTGATAACTATTGGTTGATTGTAAAAATTGTTTTGCTTTATTTTTTCGGTAATTATACAGAAAGAGACCTCATGTATGACCTGGACATTGATATATGGTGTCAAGGTCACTTTTCTGAGTGACCTTCAGAAGGTTTTAGCTGGCGGTCATTGTTCATTAAGAAGTTATTAACAAATGCAACTAAAATATATAACAGATTATGTCAGTGCTAAGGGAAGTAATTTATTGATATATGTGCACATATAAGCAGGGGGTGGGTAGAGGTGGACATCGGTTCGTGTGGAAAA